AGACAAGCCGGCAGAGGCAGCCAAGAGCGAAATCATGAAGGGAGACAAGCTTGGGAGACAAGGCAGCAGTGGCACCCAAAAGCGAAATCATGAAGGAAGACAAGCTTCACAGACAAGGCGGCAGTGGCAGCCAAGAGCGAAATCATGAAGGGAGACAAGGTTGGGAGACAAGGCGGCAGCGGCAGCCAAAAGCGCAATCAGGAACCCATCCATTGAGAAGTAAGAATCCCTATAGCTTCGCTATCTCGGGAAAAAAACATGACACGATTCTATTGTCCATCCCCTGCCGGTGTTAGCCTATAAGATGCCGACGCGTTTACCCTTTTATTTATGTGGAATAGTTCTTAGAATATATGTCTAACCGGCTGAAGAGGCCGAGAAGGCTGCGGCGGCTGCCGCACGGGCAGACGACCGCAAGGCACAAGAGGCCAGGGCCAGGACTGGTGTGGCCTTTCTCCACGGCTTCCAAGGTGTTTCCACGGAAAGCAGCATAATTGACAGACTAAAGCTGTTCGTTGGTCGCTCTCCGCTCAAGTGAATGCAGGGCTTTAGTTTCCAGCGTGTCTTGGAGCTCGCGTCGGTCTTGTCTGACCTTTCCTCTCTCGCTACCTGTCCTTTCCATTGCTCCTCTAGCTGCCTTCCTTGGATTGCCCTTGGATTTTGCTTAGGATTACTTGTGGCCTTCATTTGCATCTTCGTGCTGGCACTTCACTGGTTTTCCTTGCAGTTCCGCGTCCCTTTTTGGCACCAGGCATCTCAGGGGTTCCGTTCTCCTTCCCCTCCTGATAGACCAGCTGGTCTTGAGAGAAGGGCACGATTGGCAGCTTACTCAGAGTAGTGGATGAGCCTCCCGATCACCAAGAGTGACATTGACTTGCTCATTGGTGCTCTGAACAGGTTGAGTCTAGCGCTTGAGGGATCGGCATCTTCGACCTCATCGACTCCTACCTCTCCTACGGTCTCCATTGCTGGTTGGGAGTTGGTTGAACCCACCTCCGAGCAGCCCTTCAAGGTCACACTTCAATTCCGTCGTGTATTTGAGGACGGTCCACAGCCCGTTCCAGTTGAATTGTTGACCCTTGCTGCTGGAAAGCTTTCGTCAGCGGCAGGTGATCCTCGAGATAGAGTTGTTCGAGCTTGGCGTGCAGGGTTTTGGGCTTGGGCAGCGGTTAGCACTCATTCGCCGTACACCCGTGCAGAGGCCATCTCATTGTCAGATACTCAGTGGATCATTGCAAATCATCCTCGCTCGACTGGGCCGATTAGAGTCAGAAAGATTGGAGATCTTCGCCAGCTTCTTGCCTCTATTCCTCCAGGTGCTGAGGAGCCGTGTTACCAGGGCTTTGCATCGTTGACTGAGGTACAGGTCTTCTGCGCCTCGTACGGCATTGATACTCCTCCATTGTATCAATGCAGCGCTCAGAAGTGAGGTTTGCGGCGGTGAGGGATGACTACTCACTGATTGTCATTACCCTCACTCCGCCTGTTGTGGAATCAGTGATTGAGCTTTTTGCCATTCCGCTCATCCCGCGTGATGGAGGCTTCCTCATTGCGGTCCCCCACGGTGCTTTGGATGAGAGTTTGATCAGTGAGAGTGAATCGCCCGACATGACGCCTAGTTGGCTTGGCATTGGCACCATTTTGAACGTGCCTATGGTTGAAGAGGATGAGACAGGGGCTCCTGTCAGTTTGGGTATAAGTGGCCCGGTGATGGCCATTGATGTGACGGATGAGATCTTGTTCTATAGCAGAGCCTATGACCCTGTTACGGACAGTGATCATGACATTTGCCCTTTCCACTCGGAGCACTCTGCATGTATTCCGGATTTGGAGGCGCTCTTGGGAAAGGTGGGGCAGTGGCTGCATGAGAGAACGGATGGGACTTCTGGTTTTTACTCGGCTCAAGAAGACCCGGGTGTAGCAGCCAAGAAGTCTGGAGCTCCTCCCAAAAAGGCAACAGCAGCGAAGAGAGTTTCGAATGCCGCTCTTCTGGATCAGATGAACATGATCATGGCACAGTTGCAAAGTCTGTCCGTTCGACAAGATGTCTTGGAGAAGAAGGCAGAGGTGGCCCCTGCATCTGTAGGCGCTGCCGTCGCTCCACCCGGTGGCAATGTCAACAAGCTGCCGGACTTATCAGAAGGCCTCGCTTCCGTGGGTGGCCCTCCGTTGGACGTGCCAAAGGCTTTGCAGTTGATTGGTCCTCCTCCTCGAACCCAGTTGGGAAAGGTGCAGACAAAGCAGGTTCTTGCTCCTCAGGCTCCAGAAGATCCCAATGCTGTTCTCCTGGGGCTAGACGCGGGCGAGGGGAACCATGGAGCTATTGTGAACGCACTGAGTCAGCAATCAAATGCCCTCACAGCGCTGGTGGCTCATTTTGCAAATCAGTCGAGCGATTGTCTGACCGATCTCCAATCCGGCTTTTCGACCTCCTCTTCCATGAAAGGGGTACAAAGAAGAGAGAAGCTGCAGTCAGAGTTGGCAAGTCGAACAGGCAATTTCTTTTTGCTCCTCATGCAGCAGATCCACAAGAAACTTACCCCGGGGCGCACACTGCCACGGTCGGTCGAAGAAGTGGGGTCGATCTCCATGCTGGAGTACCTGTCGAAGTCCGGGGGTTATCGAAACCAGAAGACCCTGGGACTTATCCAATGGATTTTGGGCCATGCAGTGGACGCTGCTGCTCAAGACGACTTTGCGGGAGTGAAGGAGATCATTGCTCTCCTGGCTATGGCAATCGAGCAGGCGAATTACGACAATGGGGAGTGGTCAGTTGCATACCTGATCAGCCTGCACGAAGAGCCACCCATTCAACTTTTTCAGGAGAGGGCAGCGGCCATTATGGCTACAGGACGACCTTTCAGCCCTCTTATTCCTCCAGTGTGGTCAGCAGCAACTTTGAGCTACATCAGGGACATGGAGGTGTTGGCAAACAAGAAACCCGAAGCCAAGAAAGGTCCTGTGCCAAAAGAAGGAGCAAGTTCAGAAAGTGTGAACCTAGATTCCCCCCGCCGGAAGCCCAGGTTTCCGAAGCGCCCGAAGCAGGCGCAGGAGGGGGAGAAGTGAAAAATGATTTCAAGTGCATGAGGTGCAGGAGGAAAATCTGTTCTCCTGCTCCGGAGAATTCCAGAATTTATTTTTGTGAAGGGAACTACTTGCCTGTCGATGAGCCCGCTCCCTTCTCCGTGAATGGTGACTTCAAACTTCGAAATGGAAAGATTCACCATAGTGGGATCCCGGGCAATGGTGAGCGGACTGAACAGAGTCGTGGTCCTAGAAGGGATTCGCTCAATATGCATGATCGCGCTGGTGTTCCTCCGACTTTGTCTTTTTGGAAGTGGTGCTCTGGGTTGCTTCGAAATGTTTTGAGGACCAGGACGCCATTTGCTGCATTTTTGAAAACTACTCTGCATTTGCCTCGGAGTTCTGTGACTTCGACATCGCCGCTTTTCCCTTTGCCCATTCCGTCCCCAGGAGTGTTCCAAAGGATGCCGTCATCCATCTCTCTTCATCGCCGACGTCGCCTTCATCTGAAAAGGACTCTTCATGTTCTGGTGATGGCTTTGAATTTTTGGCATGGAGGTTTGAGGAGTTTCCCCAACGAGGTGCTTTTGACGAGGCATCCATCAAAGGCCCATCGGACCGTATACAGAAAGTTGATGGATGTTTTGGCGGCTGACGGCCCTGATTCCGGCACCTTCGAGGTGTTGGCCTGTGGTCGAAGATTTCCTCAATTAGTTGCAAGACTGGGAGAAATATCTGACTATGTAACAAAGCTTGGAGCTGCAGGGCCCTATAGCCGTTTCTACCATGGCCATGAAGTTCCCCTGAACAACAGTGTCCTACCTCAACTCCAGCCGTATATGCCGCTGGATGCAAACAGACTCAGCATCAAGGGCCATGGTTGTTTTGATGCTACACCACATCTGGGTGATGAGCTGCTCATGGCGTATAGGATGCCAGATTTGCTTCTGTGTGATAGACAGCCCCAGTACGGTGACTTCCCCATCATGACCGATGATGCAACGCAGATTATACAGCTGGCAAAGATATGGGATGCAAGAGGTTTGCTTTTTCTGCGGAGAGGTCCAGTTGAAGCTGAGTCACTTACAAGGGTGTTCAACAACTTCAAAAATGAGGAGTGTGACCGACAAATCGGCGACCGCCGTGGAAGAAACTATCAGGAAGCAAAGGTGCATGGCCCTTCTCGGCATCTTCCTGCAGGACCTGATTTGACAGACCTCCATCTCAACGGGAGGAAGGAGGCCCTTTACATCTACTGCACAGACAGAAGTGATTTTTATCATCAATTTGCTGTCACGGAAGCTAAGGCTGCAGCCAATGCGGTAGGCCCTCCGGTGACTGCTGCTGATGTTGCTGATTTAGACGCCTACAGTGAGCTGCTCTCTAGAGAAGCTTGCAGAAGGAAGGTGAAGCGCTCTCGGGAGGTCGAAGGTGATCAGCTCCATCTGATGAATGAGCCCTCTGAGACAAAGCGTGCTTCATTGCTGAGCGATGATATTTTCATTTGCTTCAAGTCCTTGTTCCAGGGAGATCATGGAGGCGTTGAATTTGCTACAGCTTCTCATGAAAGTGTCTTGCAGTCACAGGGCCTTTTGTCGAGCTCTACACGGCTGGTTGCAAACAGTCCTTTCCGAGGTGGGCCTTTAGCAGATGGCTTGGTTATCGATGATTATTTTGCGATTTCCCGAGAACCTCGCCGTCAAGCTCCAGAGCAAAGTGCTGCAGCAAGATGTTTCTCCCTAAGTCAGGCGGTATACAAAGAGTATGACCTGATTGGCTCCCCGCAAAAAGATGTCACAGGCGAAAAAAGGGCTAAAGTTATTGGGGCTGAGATCAATTCCAACGACCATGCTGCTCGCCGTGGGATCACTTCTGTTGGTTCGCCGATTGGGAAACGCTTGAGTTTAAGCTGGGTGACCTTCCAGGTTGCGCAACTTCCGGCTACGACGGACTCTCTTCACCTTTGTCTTCTTGGTGGCTGGACATCGATGATCCTGTATCGCAGGCCTTTCATGAGCCTCCTCACCGCAGTACATAAGCTTGTCAATGCTGCTAGTGTTGATGCGGATGCTCCTAAGACAGTTGCTCTTCCAAGGTCTGTGGCAAATGAGTTATGCCTTCTGAGCGTTTTGGCTCCTCTCATGGTGTCTGACATTGGTGCTGACTTTTCTGAGGAGATCTTTGCTACGGATGCTTCAAATACAAAAGGTGCCATCGTTTCGACTACCACACTACCCGCAGTTGCACAAGAGCTTTGGCGGTGTTGTAGAACAAAAGGAGCATACTCTCGCCTCAAGACGGAATATGAACTCCTGGTTGAACGACTTGGTATTGCTGAGGAAGTTGGGGAGGATGTCAATCCCTCCTCATGTGATCTTTCTGTTCAAAGGCCTGCGAAACCTATAGCCTTCAAGTTTGACTTCATTGAAATTTATGCAGGGTCCGCAAGGGTCTCAAGTGCAGCTTCATCAATGGGCATGGTTGTTGGGCCGCCAGTCGATATAGCTTACAGTGGGGAGCTTGATCTGTCTCTGGTGAGGGTGATTAGCTGGCTTTCCTATATGATCGCAGCCGGTCTCCTTGGCAGCTTGATGGTTGAACCAGTTTGCACTACTTTTTCCATCATTCGTCGGCCTAGACTGAGATCAAGGACAGTCCCTCTTGGGTTTGACCCTCGTGATCCTAAGACTCAGCTTGGGAACGTGTTGGCTTTGAGGGCTTTGACTCTTCTTTTCATTGCCCGCCGCTATGGAGTGCCCGCCTTAGGTGAGCAGCCGTGGTCGTCTATGATGAGGTTTCTTCCAAGTTGGAGAGCTTTGGAGGAAAAGCCCGGAGTGACGACAGTGCGATCAGACTCCTGCGCTTTTGGCTCAATACATCTCAAGAGTTTCCGCTTCATTGCAGTGCATCTTGGCATCGATAGACTGAGCAAACGCTGCAAAGGGGGTCACAGTCACATCCCTGTGGAGGGCAGGTATACTAAAGCATCAGCATCCTACACCCATGAGCTCGCCCATGAGATTGCTGCCTGTTTTGCTGAAGCTGTTGCTGCCAGAAGGGATTTTTTCCGAACTGAAGAGTCTGGGCCAGTCGAAGGTTTGGAAAATCAACTGGTGAACCTGGTAGCCACTTCTTCTTCCTGGAAGGCCAGGTCAGCATGGTCCTTCCAGACGGAAAGGCATATCAATGTGTTGGAGATTAAGAGTGTAGTCAGATTAGCTGAACGATTGATTGGCGTCCCTCGCCCTTTGAGAATTGTCAACTTTGTCGACTCCTACGTGATCAGGTGTGCTGCTTCTAAAGGAAGATCCTCGAGCATTGCACTGTCACCCTTCTTGCGGAAGTTTGGAGCTCTTTCTGTTGCAGGAGGCTTGTATTTTTCTCTGCCTTTTGTGCCGACAAGGCACAACCCAGCAGATGATCCCACTCGTGACCATGACCTTCGGCAGAGTTGGGGAAATGTTGACTTCTCTGCAATGAATGAGCATGACATCAGGTTCTTGGCTACCTTGAAGGGATTGAGACGTTGGGCATCAAATTGGGTGAGGTTGACACTCGGGTTGTTTGGCTTCAACAGCTTGCCAGTTGGAAAACCTGGCCAACGTTGTCACGGTCTGAAATGGACTTCAGCTACTAGCCCTTCTGAGTGGCCCCCTCATGACACTCGGCTCAACTTTGGATTTTTGGATTTCGATTGCACTCTCGGCTTTCCTGGGGAAGGTCCCCCTTCCTCAGTTCTTAGCTTTCTCCTTGGACTTTTCTCTCTCATACTTCACTTCCCGTGTCCTCCTGTCATCTCCCTGTCTGTCCTCGTAGCCGGTCCGGTAGTTAGCCATGGTATGATAGCACCACGGACACCTGGAGACTGGGCAAGACAGTCTGCTCGGCGGTTGAAGCCGCCTTTGCCTGTTGGACGTCCAGTTACAGAAGTGACGGCTGGAAATAGAGATCGCCTCTTAAGAGAACTTTTTGGCTGGTGCGCCAGAGCAGGCTGGAACATACAATGCTTGCTAGAGGAGCCCTTGAAGAATGTTGAAGCCATCAACAAAGTGCTCCAGCTTTTTGGTCGACGGTTGTACGAGGCTGGGAAGCCTTATGGAACATACGTTGAATCCATAAACAGCATTGTATCTTTCCGCCCTGTTTTAAGAAGACAGCTTCAACCCGCTTGGGATTTGGCATTTGCATGGGTCCGAGAAGAAAGACCCGTGCATCATATAGCGATGCCCTGGCAGATCCTTTTAGCAATGCTCAGCGTTGCGCTCGCATGGGGTTGGGTTGAGGTCGCTGGCGTACTGTCGCTTGGATGGGGCGCTCTCTTGAGGACCTCAGAGATGACTGGGGCTTTTCGGAAAGATTTACTTCTTCCGTCGGATACATTGGGTACAAACAGCTTTTTGTTGTTGTCTTTGCAAGAGCCTAAGACTCGCTTCGTTGCTGCAAGGCACCAGTATGCTAAGTGCGACATTGGGGACCTTGTGAGAGTTTGCGAGATGGCGTTCAAGAACTTGCCTCCTTTGAGTCGTGTATGGCCATTTTCAGCACAGACCTTCAGGCTGCGGTTCAAGAACCTTCTCGGTGCGCTGGGGCTGCACACCGGAGCTTGCCAGGCACAGAAGTGTCTGGACGTCGGGTCATTACGACCCGGCGGCGCAACATGGCAGCTTCAGACCACTGAAAACGCAAGTTTTGTTCAACGCAGGGGCCGTTGGGTAAACGCCAAGGTAATGGAGATATACATACAGGAAGTTGGCTCGACGCAATACCTCTTGCAACTTACAGAACAACAAAGAACTACAGTTGTGACCTTTGCAAAAATGTTTCCATTGTTTCTTCAGAAAGCTGAAGTCTTGAGGAGAGCAAATGTTCCTACAACATTGTGGTGGCCGGTGATGAGTCGAGACAAGCCATAAGGCTGAGCTGTTGGGAGACATGGGTCGAGGCCATAGGCCGAATAGCTGTGACACCTGCAAGCAGCAGAGAAAAGTGAGAGCGCCTTCAGTTGAAGCTTT